TGGCGGAAGCAACGAAATATGTACATACACCAGGACCCCGCGTGCACAAGGATCCGCTTTCATGTGCGAGCTTCAGTGCGGGACCAGGAAAAGCGTCGGTGTATAGATTTAGGCTCCTTACCTTGTGCGAGCTGCCAGTCATGTTCTTGAATCGGCGGCGAGCGAGGGGGGGAGGAAGTGAGAAGGAGAAGGCCTTCTCAGAAGGCGGCGGGACTTCTCAGAAACCCTCGCACCTTCTGAGAAGTTGCTTCTGTCTTCGGGGAAGGCTCAGAACACTTCTCAGGAGGCCGGGGAACTTCCGAGCCTTCTGAGAAGGCCTTCTCCTTCTCACTTTCCCACTCGCTCGCCGCCTAAGATTTCGGCTCCTTGCCCTGTGCGCGCCGCCAGTCCTGTTCTTGAAGGGTGTTCTCATGTCCTGGGTTCGGCCGCAGTAGCACGCTAAAAGAGGCTCCCCACGGCGGCGGGCCACGGATTGTTGCAGTTTTTCCACACTTCCAAAGTGCGGTTCTTGTTTTCTCTGCAACAAGAACACCCCCCAATTTCATCATCATCATCATCATCATCATCATCATCATCATCATCATCATCATCATCATCATCATCATCATCATCATCATCATCATCATCATCATCATCATCATAATCATCATCATCATCATCATCGTCATCGTCATCATCATCATCATCATCGTCATCCACATCATCATCATCAGCATCATCATCAGGAATAGGAACACTCCAACAACATCATCATCATCATCATCATCATCATCATCAGGAACATAAGCACACTCACACATCATCATCATCTTCATCATCATTACCATCATCGTCATCATCATCATCATCATCATCGACAACATCAGTATCATCACTCATTCACTCATTTACTGTCGTCACCATCATCATCATCATCATCATCACCGACGCCATCGTCATCATCATCATCATCATCCTCCTCCTCCTCCTCCTCATCATCATCATCATCATCATCATCCATCATTATCATCATCATCATCATCATCATCATCATCATCATCATCATCATCATCATCATCATCATCATCTTCATCATTCGCACTCACTTACTCGCACACTCGCACACTCACTCACACACTAATCAAGATCATGATGATGATAACGATCAAGATCATCCTCATTCACTCATTCGCTCCTCACTGAATCACTCGCTCACTCACCTTTGGGCTCCTGAGGCGTGAATCTTGATGAAGTCTCAAGCGGGGGCATCGTCAGCGAGTGAATTGCGAGGAAGTCTCAGGCGGGTGGGCCCCTGAGGCTAGACCTAGAAGAAGTCTCAAGCGGGGGTATCGTCAGTGAGTGAACTGCGATGAAGTCTCAGGCGGGAGCCCCCTCCCTATGGGGCCCGCGCCTCATGTTTTATATAATCCCAGGGGGTCATTCGCAAACCTGTAGCCGTCGTCACTTTGGGGCCCCTGAGGCTTGATACTAGAGGAAGTCTCAGGCGGGAGCCCCGTCCACGAGTGAATTGCGAGGAAGTCTCAGGCGGGGGCCCCCTCGTCCCTGGCGGCAGCCCCCCTCCATTCCCCTCCCTATGGGGACCGCAGGTCATGTTCGAATCCGAGGCGGGTCATCAGAGTCTTGTAACTGTCGTTACTTTTGGCTTCGTCAAACTTGAGCATGGAGCAAGTCTCAAGCGGGGGCATCGTCAGTGAGTTGCGAGGAAGTCTCAGGCGGGAGCCCTCTCCCTACGGGGCCCGCGCCTCATGTTTTTAAATTCGAGGCGGGTCATTCGCAAACCTGTAGCCGTCGTCACTTTGGGCTCTCGAGGTCTGAATTTGGAAGAAGTCTCAGGCGGGAGCCTCGTCTCAGGCGGGAACGCCCTTTCTAAGGGCCCCGCACTTCACGTTCGAATCCGAGGCGGGTCATCCGCCTACTGTAGCACCCCAAGGAGGTAACACGTGAGGATGTCCGGCGCGATTCCGGAAGGGTTCAGCGCTATTGGCACTGCACGGGGTTATGACGATGACGACGACGAGACGGCGGCCGGGCACAGGGTAAAGCCTTTGTGTCCAGGCAGCGGGTGGTAGCCCAGCCGAAGCGGGCGCAGGGGGAGACCCTTGTGTCTGGGCCGCCGGTGGTGGTAACCCGTCGGCGGCCGACCGATGCGGCGACGGCGCCATGCAGAAATCGACTCGAGTGCCCTTGCTAGAGGGGCTGGGGAGGAGGTGGACGGGGGGAAGAGGCAGGAGGACGAGAAGGGGCAAGAGCAGGGGGCAGGATGAGGGTGTCCGTCAGGGCAAAAGGGAGAAGCGCGACGAGGAGACGGAAAGAGAGCTCGTTACAACCAGACTCGTTTGGGGATTCTCATGTGGGGCCCTTCCGTCGGAGTCATTTTGATCCCCCAGGCGGGGAGTTGCGATGGCTCGAGGATGACCACGCGTCGCGCGTTGTGCGTCGCGCGTCGCGGGAGGAGGAAAAGGAGGAGGAGGAGGGAGGAGGAGGAGGAGGAGGAGGAGGA